TTTCAATGGCCATTATATGAGTTTTTCAACAGATAATAAATCAAATTAGTAAAAAAGTCATTTCGAGGGGGATTTAGAAGAGAAACGTCCTTCTCATAATTAGATAGATCCATAACCGGCTGTTGAAAAACTCATATAATGACCATTGAATTCGCGCCATTGACTTTAATCATTGAAGCGCTTGCCTTGCGTACGCAGAATAACTGTCTTTGTTATAAAGTATAAATTGAAGTATATATATATAGTAATTTTTAGAAATTAAAATTATTATTAAATAAGAAATCATTAATCTCACAAGAAAAATAATTTGTTCTGACATTATTAAATATGTAAATAATTAATAAAGTTACAATCAACCAACCCACGATACTACTTATAAGTAATGTCTTGTCCTATCAAGACATATAAATATATCTACTTTATGAACTGAGTCAAGCGAGTTGAGTATTGAGAAACTCAAACTTGACTCAGTTGGAATTGTTGAAGCTCTAACTCGAGCTGGATAGATATATGATCGGCTAGAACTTGACTTGATTACTAAAACAATTAAAATATATATATAATTATTTTTATTTATATATAATATTAATACTTAAAATTATATATATCTATATATAATATTAGTATAAAATTAAAATATTACATAATATATCAAGCTCGAGTGAAGCATTAATAGGTTCAAACTCGGTTCGACTCAAAATACAAGCTACTCAAGCTAGAGCATGAGTTGAGTCGAGTCCAAATTGCTCGCGAGTAGCTTGGTTTGCAAACCTAATATAGTTGACTTTGATGCTATTTTGATAGTATCGATGTCTAATAACATAAAACTACACATATAACATTTTCGAACAACATAATGTGATAAAATGTAATTGGCTGATTTTAAATTAAAAATAAATTTTTACTTAATTATCTTTTATCACGTCAAGTTGTATGAAAAATGTTATATATGTAGTATTAGTCATATCCAATCCCCCCTCGTAGTAAAGCTTTTTGGTCGATGTTGGTATAAGAACTTTGTTGAAAGAACATATGTAATTGGATATTATAAAAATGTAGGATTATTAGTTTAATATATGAATGAGATTGTACATTCAATGTATGGACAACTTTATTNATGCAAGCTACTCAAGCTAGAGCATGAGTTGAGTCGAGTCCAAATTGCTCGCGAGTAGCTTGGTTTGCAAACCTAATATAGTTGACTTTAATGCTATTTTGATGGTATCAATGTCTAATAACATAAAACTACACATATAACATTTTCGAACATCATAATGTGATAAAATGTGATTGGCTGATTTTAAATTAAAAATAAATTTTTACTTAATTATCTTTTATCACGTTATGTTGTATGAAAAATGTTGTATATGTAGTATTAGTCATATCCAATCCCCCCTAGTAGTAAAGCTTTTCGATCGATGTTGGTATAAGAACTTTGTTGAAAGAACGTATGTAATTGGATATTATAAAACGGTAGGGTTATTAGTTTAATATATGAATGAGATTGTACATTCAATGTATGGACAACTTTATTTTTAATTTTATATCAATTGTAGGGACATTTATAACTTTGGGTCTAATCGACTTTTTCCCACCTAAATAATGGTTTAATAACATCTTTTTATCTAACATATTTTTAAAATACTATTTTATTAGTCAAAATTTCGATTTTAACATCGTTATTACCCCATACTACCACTATTTTCCCCCCCCGATTATCACTAATCAAATCCCCTCAAACCCTACTCCCGTCAATCTCGTCATTCACCGACAATCAAGCGATTAGGGTTTATGTAACCACCCCTTCCAAGTTAAATTCCGATCAATTAAAACTACCAAAAGTCAATCTTCTACCACCAAAAAACTTATTAGTCTCCCCTCTTAAAAACCCTAACAATTTGGACTGATTTTGCTCATCGAACACTTACTTTTGCTTCTCTAATTTCTGTGTGAGCTTTCACAATGTACCGCCCCAAGCCTAGTAGATCAATTTTGTTAGTGGGACGCTTCAATAAAATGTGGTCACGGGCATGTGAGAACTGTGTATCCAACGCCCAGTTTTTTCCACATCAGTTTCCACTTTTCCTTCTCCTTTTTTGACTTTTCTCTTACTCTTCTTCCTCTTCTTCTTCTTCTCTTCAATCCTCCCGTTGTTTGTGATTTTTTCAAGCTCAATCCAGAATTAACTCGATAACTATGATTGATCGACCCAACATAAGCTAGTTGCAAGTAATCATTCAATTAATCCCTATATTACTTTAAATCCAGATATTACAAGAATGACTATATCAATAGTAATCACTGCACAATCACAAAGCCCAATTGTGAGAATATTAGAATTGCGATTCATATTAATTGTAATCTCTTTAATTTCATTATTTTCTTTGTACAAATCTTGTATATAAACCATCTCAAACGACGAAAAAAGGGTTACGAATTTCACATAAGAATTATATTGTAAACTCTCACAATAAATACAAAAACAGTAGACATAGACTGCAGAGTTATCTTCGTCAAACCATTTTTAAAACTCTCATTATCTTTATTTTATTGTATTTTTACATACATTATTGATTATTCTTAATTACACGTACATCCGTTCTGATTATGATAGAGTTAATCACAATTCTCTTATTAGTACATATTTCTATAGCCATCCTAATTTTTTTTTTTTTAAATTTTAGATTTCTTTTTCTCGTTTAAAAGTATGACGTCATTGTGGATAATTTCAAGATAGATCCTCTCTCTCAAGTGGCAGTCAGGCACAGATCTAAAAGAAAAATATTTTTTATAGAGATGATTAGCATAACATGTACACCCTCTAATTTGTACCGAAAATTATAAATCCCCTCTGGTTCTGGATATTACTGTCAACCCCTACCGTTTGTCAGAGTTATCAAAATCATTCACTTGACTGATGAGACGTTTAAATACCATCTTTACCCCTATTATTCTTATATAAATATTTTAATTCATAAATACTATTAATAAATAAATAAAAGCCTCCCCTCTTTCTCCTGCTTTTATAATTGGCCAAACAGAAAAGAAAAAAACAAAAAAAGGGCACTCGCCTCCCACCGCCCCACTCAGGCACTCACCTTCACCTGTCATAAAATCCGTTCATTATCGGCCAAAAACAAAACAGAAAATAAGGGCTAGGATGACACTTTATTTTTATATTTTAGGGTTTTTTTTTTTTTTTTCCTTCTTATTTTAGTTATACACCATTTACTCTTTTACCCATTTTCTTTAAAAAATAAGGAGACGTGTGATTTATGAAATGTTGTATTACTGAGAATGTTATATTAATGGGAAGATGAATAACTTTTTAAGATTATTGAGAATGTTATATTTCATATATTTGGTTAAATAAGAATAAATTAGTAGGAATGTTATATTGATATATTTGATTGGGAGGAATAAATTAGTAGATATGTTATATAGATGGCTAAATTGTCTTTCTTTGTTAATATTATTATTCTTTATTATTTAGATTATTTTTAACCCCTTACATTTGAGATTTTGCTAAAATACCCTAGCCACAATAAAAGTTTAAAAATGAGTCAAAACACCCCAACCACCCAAGACAACTATCAGTCTCCAACCACCATCACCGGTCTCAATTGACAATCGCTAGAACAGTGCATGATCAATTGGATCTGGTCGGTCGATCGTGCATTGATCTGACATTTTCAAATCCATGGTCGGGGATCTGGCAAAAAAAAAAAAAAAAAGGCTAGAATAGATTTGGCCAGAAAAGGCCAAATCGGCGCACAACTAACCATATCCGACCGGGTTGTGTGCCATTCCAGCAATGTCGACCGACAATGGTGGCCACATCCAGTTGTAGTCTCAAGTAATTTGGTTGAAGTATGAGGGTAATAATGTCTTAAAATCTTGTGTATAAGGATAAAATGGTCCATAAATATTCTTGCAAATTGTTTTCAAAACAACTATCCAAAAATTTTATTAGTTAGGGGTAAAATTGTAACTAATTTTATAATACATAAGAAAATAGTGGTATTCAGATGACCATCTATATAATCTACAATAATTACTAATTACTATATGGTATTGGAGGATTATTGATAAATTTTTTTACTTAATAGCTAAACATAATAATGTTAGTAATATAAGATGACTTTACTAGAGTAATAAGATATTAACCCTAAACAAACACACCCTAACAATGAAGTAATAACTAGGGGTGTTCAAAACTGGTTAACCGATTTTGTGAACCGAACCAATTTTTCGGTTCAGGAATTGTTCTGAACTGAAACCAAACTAGTTAAGGGAAAACCCGACTAAACGGTTTGAATCGATTTTAATTTAATATTTTATATATATTTTTAATTTAATTTTTTTTATAATAAACAATAATTTTTTATTTAATATTTTTATAATAAATCAGTTTATAAAACTTGTTTCAGTTAACCGATTCTCATATTCTTATAAACTGGTAATCGAATTAGAAAATTGATTTTTGTATTTCTTTGAACCAAAACCGAATTGGTTTTTTGGATAACTAGAAAACCAGTTGGTTATTGGTTCAGTAACTTCAGTTCGGTTCAATTTCTGTATTTTTTTTAACACCCCTAATGGTGACGTACTAACGTTTAATAAATGACAAGGGGTTGATAACAGTATCCAAAACCATAGGGGGTTTATTGGTAAGGATATACATCAGAGGATTTAGATTATAGTTATTTTTTATAAAGAATTTGTGGATAAACATCAATGAAAATATGATATGCTACATTTAATTTACAGATAATATGATATAAAAACGTTTTTCATTATTTTTTTTTTCTTATTTACTCCGAAATTGAACTCAAGTACAAAAGTAAAAAGGCAAAAGGGATTTTGTGTTTTGTTTTATTTTATTTTTGTATTAAAAAAAAAAAAGTATTTACTTGAAATAGCCGTCTCAACGGACAGAAGGCGCGTGACGAAAACAAAGGCAAATCCAATTTTTATAGTTTTAAATGATAAGTGATCGATCGCTGTCTTTTTACCCAACTGAGTCAACTCAATAAGACCATAAACAACAGGTTCTTCGCGATTCTCGCGACAGCATTCAGCAAAGTCATTTCATTTCTCTCATGGACTCCACCGAGTCGATGAGACGAGTCTTGACGGCGGAGATTGGTAAAACTAAGCTTGATTCCGGATGGCTCGCCGCCAGATCGAGCGAGATTCAGCTCACCGGCACTCAGCTCACCACTACTCACCCGCCGACAAAGTCCACCGCGCCGTGGATGGAGGCCGCTGTCCCCGGAACGTAATATACTCTGTCACATTTTGTTTGCTTAACTTTGATTCGGTTTATACGAATTGTCGTTTCCGCGTTGAAGCTTTCATTGACTTTGGTTCTGCTTGTTTGCCTGATCATATGCTTTAATTCTTTTTTGCTGCAATGTTGAAGATTTTAATAGAAATTGGCACGTGTGAAAGTTTGATATCAAGGATTTATATTTTAGTATACTGTGTCATTTTAATTTGAATGACATTCATTAATCGTTTCAATTGATGTTCTGTTTGATTTGTTTAATCGACTCCGTTGACTTAGCTTGTTCAGTTGATCATTCTTTAATTTCCCTTTTTCTTCGTGCAATATTAAAATGGCGAGTAGAAATTTAATAATTAGATAATTGTGTTGCACACGTGTGGATGTTGCATATGGTTGGCTGATAGTTCTTTAATCTTTTAGTACTATATTGCAATTTAAGTAGAAACATGGAGAATTCTGATGCACAAGTGGAAAAGTTTGATAACTAGTTCAACATTTTTTTTTTCGTTTTGTGTCACTTAATTTGAATGATATCTTTAGAGGGGTAAGGTGATGATGATGATAAAAGTAATCTAATCTTAAAGTCTTTAGCGGGTTAAAATTTCATTGACCTCTCCTAAAGTTTGGTATAATTGCAGTTAAACCCCCTTAATTTGAAAAGAGAAGATTTCTTAGAACATATACGAAACTTTGGGAAGATCTCTGACAATTTTTGGGGCTCATGAAGACTCTAGGGAGTTTTTCTGACTTTCAAACTAGGGGGTTTGCCAAGTTTGGTGAAAAAGGGGAAAGGTTAATGAAAAGTTTCTTTTTTAGTATTGATAATTCTGATTTTGTGATAATTATTTTGATATTACATTGGATGAATATGTTTCTTGTTAGATTTACTGTCTAACTTCTAATTTCTGGTGGAATCAATATCAGCTGAGATTTTAAAACTGGTTTTTAGCCAATATCACTACATTTGAAGTGTTTACTTTTTATTTATTTTTTGAAAATTTCTATATTTTAAAACATTTACAACACTATGCAAATAATTGGTCGCACTAACAAAGGTATCCCTCGATGCATTAAACTTCCTAGCATATTGTGGAGTACTATCTGCTAGATCATACTGTCGTTAGGCTGGACAACATACGGTATGGTGCTTGAAAGCTTGCAAGACCAGGGGAAGAATTTTGATATATGTAGAAGAACTTTGGAAATTTTCTATTTTTAAAAGCCATTGAAAGAAACAGGAACCTTATGGAGAGCAAGATTGGATCCCCAAAACCCTTGCAGTTATACCACTAAAATAAATCTCACTAGCTAAGCTAGCTGGTACCATGACGTGCTTGCAAACATGAAATATGGATTATTGGTTTTCTTGCTCATGATATTCATTTGTCTCTGGTTTCACATCTTAGCCTGAGTTTATTTATTATATACATGGCAATAGTTTACTTACCACAGCTAACAATGATCTCATTGGCAGTGTTTTGGGAACCCTTGTAAAGAATAAAGTTGTGCCCGATCCTTTTTATGGATTGGAGAATGAGACGATTGTAGATATAGCCGATTCTGGAAGGGAATTTTACACTTTCTGGTTTTTTACAACTTTTCAGTGTAAGCTGGTATGTATTGCTTAGACATATGATTTACTAAACTTTTAGAGAGTATTGTGAATTATTTCATTGAATAGTATAATTTTGTTTATTGTTCGTATGCCCGAAAATTTTTACTTGTTATAACGCTTTCACCAATACTTTTTATTTAAAAATTAAATGTAATGATGTCTCTGATTTTGAGTCAAAGTTGAAGTAACATACTACCTTAGTTATATAATTAACGAATTGCTGTGTGATTTTAACATTTCAACTGAGACATACTTTCTCAGACTTTGCTATAGTTCTAAATATTTTCATCTTCATTTTTCTTCTGTAAGTGATTGTTTCTAGCCGGCTTTTTGTAGTTAGGGGAACAGCAGTTGGATCTGAATTTTCGTGCAATAAACTACTCGGGTGAACTATACTTAAATGGTCACAAAAAGGTTCTCCCAAAAGGAATGTTTAGAAGACATTCTCTTGATGTTACTGATATTTTGCATCCTGATGGTCAAAACTTGCTAGCTGTTCTTATACACCCTCCTGATCATCCTGGGCGAATTCCTCCTGAGGGTGGGCAAGGTGGGGATCATGAGGTAATCATCTTTTTGCAGAATCATAGCTGTATATTTGATCTCAGACAATTCAGGTTATAACTTAGTGTTTCATAATGAAATATGAGTGTAATGCGCAAATGTCATTTTCTCTTTCTTTCTTTTGTTTTTTTTTTTTTTTGGATAAAAAAACATTGAAGGTTTGTATTGAATAAAATGAGGTATAAAAAGTGAACAAGGTCTCCAACAAAACTGGGAACATCCTTGGTGAAAATTAAAAGGAACTCTACAATCTGTACGCTGAACAACTCTTAACCTATGACTGCAAAATCAATGTCAATTCATATAAAGCAAAAGAGAACAAAAATATACAAAAAGACTACTTCCCAATTAAGATAGATGACTGAAAAGGTTTTTGTCAATCATTTCTTTGTTAGATTGGAAAAGATGTTGCAACACAATACGTGGAGGGCTGGGATTGGATGGCTCCAATAAGGTAACAGTTCTGTACTTTGAGACTAAAGAGTGTGATTTCTGATTTGATACTTCTTGTTTCTGTTATGTATTATGTTTCCATAAGGTGATGTACTGATCCAAAAACTACATATTTTTTTTTTCATTCTAAAACTTCAGTCTAAAGCATTAAAAGTATACATAGATCCTCTAGTGTAATTTAGTCCCCTCTCTCTCTTAAATTTTTTTCTGAAAAAATATTTCTCATATTTTTTTATTTGCATGTTATGGTTGTAAGGATAAATTAAAGCTGAAATAAATAAAATTTTGATACCTAACGGAACTGATCTTCCAGGGATAGGAATACCGGCATATGGGATGAAGTGTCAATTTCTGTCACAGGGGTGAGTCTTATAATAATATTTAAGTTCCTTTCTTAATTATTGTCGTCAATTATAATGCTTGCCTTTATAGCATTCAACTTTTCTTTTTTTTGTTATGATGTTATTTGTATGGACTTAAAATGAAATGTTGTCAATCTCATCTATCTAAGCATTTCTTAGATTGGCTAAAGATTTTTGAAATCTGATTTCAGTGGGGTACTGGAAGGAAACAAATAACTATTACTGATCCTAATTATATTTGTTTAAAGAAAATTATACTCAATATTCATCATATCTTAACATAGTTCCCTGCAAAAAAATTGCACAATTTTTTTATGCAGTTATGTAAAAGTAAAGTTATCAAGTGCTGTTGGTGCTTCGATTATTTGAATCAGAAATAACAGTATTTGATCTAGTTCACTGATGCATTACCATTTGCTGCAGCCTGTGAAAATAATCGATCCCCACTTGGTTTCGTCATTTTTTGACAATTACAAAAGGGTCTATCTGCATGCCACAACTGAATTTGAGAACAGAAGCAAATGGGTTGCTGAGTGTTCCTTGAACATCCAAGTGACCACAGAACTGGAAGGAGATGTTTGCTTAGTGGAGCATCTTCAGACTCAACATATGTTGATCCATCCTGGAGCACGTGTACAGTATACTTTTCCTCAGGTCAGTGTTCTTATGTGACTTTGTCGAGCTTAGTGTATGAAAGGGTTTTGTTATGTCTCTTTGCCACCGTAAAGGTAATTTTCAATCTTAGATGAAGTTTATACAAGAGAATGTGCCCGTTTCACATAGAGCGAATAAGTAGGCATGTAGAAAACTTGTGAGCAAATGAAGAAGCCAGACTGAGCTACAAGAATGTTACAGCATGCTTTTGTTGAACTTTTACTGCGTTCTTTCTTTATTGATTTTTTAAGGTATGAAAACATGATTACCAACCTTTTAATTTTATGCATAAAATTTTCATTAGAAATTAGAATGTGTATAATAAATGAATACTCAACTGTTTGGAGCCTCCACTTTTCTCAGGTTCCACTAACTTTCATTTATGTAATCAGGAAGCCAATAGTCTTCATGTGCTAACAATGTGAATTGGCAGCTGTTTTTCTACAAGCCCAATTTATGGTGGCCAAATGGCATGGGAAAGCAAGCATTATACAATGTTCAGATTAGTGTTGAGGTAAAGGGATATGGAAAATCTGATTCATGGAGCCATCTATTTGGGTTCCGCAAAATAGAGTCCTACATTGATAATGCCACAGGTGGAAGGTATAGTTTATTCTGCAATCTCGTCAATGGATGTACTTCTGATGTTAACTGTCTATACACGTTTTCTAAACTGCACTTCTCTTCTTGACAGGTTGTTCAAGGTCAATGGGCAGCCTATATTTATTCGTGGTGGTAATTGGATTTTGTCAGATGGGTTACTACGGCTTTCTAAAGAACGTTATAGAACAGACATCAAGTTCCATGCAGATATGAATCTAAACATGATCCGTTGTTGGGCTGGAGGCTTGGCTGAGAGGCCGGAGTTTTATCATTATTGTGATATTTATGGATTGCTGGTAAGATATGCTGTCCCTCTCTGTGAAATATTTGCTTGTCTTTTTGTTTGTGTGGATTAGGGTGGGGACGATTTGGGTAAAGTTTGATCAACTTCTGCAGTATCTAAGTTGATGAGTAGTAGAATTGTTAGTTCACCTTTATCCCAGGATTTCTGTTGAGATCCATGTGGATTGACCAAAATGCAAAAGTGCTTGTCAGTGAAGCCCTGCTGCACAAATAAGGAGGGTGGTTGACTCTTTTATTAGGGTAGGGTAGCAGGGGCCAAACCATGGGGATTGCCAAGGGCACAATATCATTGGAATTGTTTTGGTAGGGAACCAGCTGTCTTGTGATAGAATACTTCTGTCAAGAGTTCTAAAAATAAAGAATGCTCTCTTCTATATTTATGGAATCTTTCCTGGTTAGGACAGTGAAAGAAGAGGCTTATTTTTCTTTAATTTATAAAATATATAAAGTAATTGAGAATGTTTTGATGCTTGGAATTTTATGAGCTGGATGATATATTGATCTCTGAAATTAATGCATTGATGGTCATTGCCACTATGAAATTAAATTGAGAACATTGATGTGAGTTATCTACTGTTACCTATAATCTAATTTATAATTAGTAAGGGGAATTTCTTAATTAGTATGACTGAAAGAAAAATGCTGGAGATGAAGTCTCACATCTGTTAAGAATTTTATCAGGAGTTACTTCTTTTCCTTGTCCCTCTTTTGGGGATAAATGTAAATGAGTAATGTTACACTTACATCATTTTTTTACACCATTTTGTAAACATCATGATGTGGCATATGCTACAACAAAATAAATTCTATTATAATATTAAAAATTCAAAATAATTAAAAATTTGTGTGGTTGTGACATATATCACATCATGATGTAATGAAAATTGTCTAAAAGAGTGATGTAAGTGTAGCATTACTCAATGTCAATACTTTATTTTATAGATTGTAATAAATATCTAGTCCTGGATAGCTGGACCAATGTATTCAAAGGTAACGGGCAACAAAATCTTTGTGGATGAATTTAACCATCTATAGGATTTAATTTATGTAGGTCTGGCAAGAGTTTTGGATTACCGGAGATGTGGATGGAAGAGGTATCCCAGTATCAAACCCAAATGGTCCCCTTGATCATGACCTATTTATGCTATGTGCAAGAGATACTGTCAAGCTTCTCAGGAACCATGCCAGTCTTGCACTCTGGGTGGGTGGAAATGAACAGGTTCCACCAAAAGACCTCAATGATGCTTTAAAGAATGACCTGAAACTCCATCCTTATTTTGAGAGTTCCGGTGAAACTGAGAATTCTATGCCAGATTTGCCCCTGGCAGCCAGTGATCCTAGCCAATATCTTGATGGTACCCGCATTTATGTCCGGGGATCTATGTGGGATGGCTTTGCAGATGGAAAGGGGAACTGGACTGATGGTCCTTATGAAATCCAATATCCTGAAGACTTTTTTAAGGATAGTTTTTACCAGTATGGATTCAATCCTGAGGTTGGTAGTGTGGGAATCCCAGTTGCAGCCACCATCAGAGCAACCATGCCTCCAGAAGGATGGCAAATTCCAGTGTTTAAAAAGAATTCTGATGGTTACATAGAAGAAGTTCCAAACCCTACTTGGACATACCATAAATACATTCCTTATTCAAAACCAGGCAAGGTTCATGATCAGATTGAACTGTATGGATTGCCAAAGGACCTCGATGATTTTTGTTTGAAGGTATTATAGAAATCTTCATTTATTCAAGTTACTTTTACCTTATGGTTATGCCACTTACTTGTCTGGAACGACCTTCACAGGCTCAACTTGTCAACTACATTCAATATAGAGCTCTACTGGAGGGCTGGACTTCTCGCATGTGGAGCAAATACACTGGTTTCTTGATTTGGAAGACTCAGAATCCATGGACAGGTCTTAGAGGTCAGTTTTATGATCATCTCCATGACCAAAATGCTGGATTCTATGGCGTTCGATGTGCTGCAGAGCCAATTCATGTCCAGCTGAACCTCTCTTCATATTATATTGAGGTAACTAGACTCTACAGAACTTACAGTTAAAGTTGATTATTCTAAATTGAATTTTTAGAATAATCAATTTTTTTATTATTCATATCCATAATACACCAAGGGTCAGCTACATTGTCGATTTAAGATGGGTTGGAAATGCATACTGATTTATTATTTTGACAGGTTGTTAACACTACATCACAAGAACTCTCTGACGTGGCTATTGAAGCATCAGTGTGGGATCTAGAAGGAGCATGCCCATATTACAAAGTTAATGATAAGCTTTCTGTGCAACAGAAGAAAACAGTACCCATTTGCGAGATGAAGTATCCCAAGTCTAAAAACCCAAAGCCAGTCTACTTTCTTCTTCTCAAACTCTACAAAATGTCCGATTACAGCATTATATCTCGGAACTTCTACTGGTTGCATCTACCTGGTGGAGATTACAAGCTGTTGGAGCCATACAGGAAGAGAAAGATACCCCTCAAGATAACATCAAAGGTTTTTATGGAAGGGTCCACTTATGAAATTGAAATGCACGTGCAGAACAAATCGAAGAAAACAGAATCTGAAAATTTGACATATAAAAATAATTTCGCTCCTATAATTGCTGATGGTGATTTTGATATGGCTTCGACAGAAGCTGCTGCACGTAAAGTCGAGGAAAAGCAAGAAGCTGGTTTCTTCAGGAGAATATGCAGCCGTTTTACAAAGGACACTGACAACTTAAAGGTTGCTGAACTGAATGGAACTGACGAAGGAGTTGCTTTCTTCCTTCATTTTTCCATTCATGCCTCAAGTAGAGAACACAAGGAAGGCGAAGACACAAGAATTCTTCCAGTTCATTACTCAGACAACTATTTTTCACTTGTGCCCGGTGAACAGATACCCATCAAGATCACTTTTGAGGTTCCTCACGGTGTCACCCCTCGAGTAACGCTCCAAGGCTGGAACTACCATGTTGGACATACTATATTCTAAGCTGGTAAGAATTCTTCTCTGCTTTTGTAGCTTGCAAAATCTGATCTCTCCGTGGTTTCAGAATTGAGGCTCAACTTTTATACAAATAAATAAATGAATAATTGCCCTTTCTTGCTCCTGGTGAAATATTTATTACTGAAAATTCTCTGGTATAAGGGAAAATAACGTCGGCAATTGGAGGAAAATTTGAGTTTGTTATTTATTTGTTTCACTGTGTTCAAGAAAATGCCCTCATATCTAGAACAGTTGTTTTTCATTTTATCTTGGTTTCAATTGTAAGTAAAGTTTACAGATGGACAGCGTTTAACATTGAAAGATCAAAGTGATCGATCTTTTGTTTGCTTTTACTCTATTTATTCATCCATATTATATTTATTGAACGGTTATTTGATTAAAGAAATGGAATGAAAAGATATGATTATTGTGATGCGTAGTCTTAGGTTCGATTTTTCGATTTTTTATCTGAGCATTTACCATTTAAGTGTGGGGTTGTGACGGTGAGTTATTGCGCTAGTCTATCCTGAGGATTGTTGAGGTGTGTATAAGTTGGCTTGGACAAATGCAATGATGATTTTGTTTTTTACATAAATACAATTGGTTATATGTTGTAGGCGATACAGGAAGAGTAGAGAAGCTAGTTAATGTTGAATTTACTTATACAGCAACTAGTTTTGAATCTCTCAGAATTTGTCAAAAATCTATTTCTTTTTATTATGGAAGAGACAAGATTTCTGACAAATTTTAGAATAATAATGGCTTCTTTGTTTCATTTTTGGAAAACTATTATTAGAATTCCTAAAAAAGTTAAACAGTAAAATATCAATATTTCTAAAATATTATTCTATATTTTTTAATTTCTTTTAAACATCTTAAATTTATTAATTTAACTAAACATCTTCAAATATATTTTTTTAAAATTACAAAAATACTCCGATCACCCTCTGGCAGTGGTGGCTAGCTGTCTATATTCAATGGGTGGATTGGAAGTACTTTTGTTAACTTTTAATGTTTTATTATAGGAGTGTTTAGTAAATAAACAAACATAGGGGGTATTTTATTAATTTTTAAATCTTACATCGTAATACCCGTCCAATTCAACTTTTTTTTAACTTTTTTCAAAAAAAAATTTCTCAAAAGTGTCAAAAAAATAAACCAAAAGGAGCCAATATCTTCCCATTTATGAAAATTTCATGAATCTCTTTCATTGAAAGTACGGTAATGCAAAAATTTAATAATTAGTTCGTAGGTTAAAAAAAATATTATATTGAAACAATAGTAAAAGTTTTGGTGCGTTTGGTTCCATATTTTTACTTATATTTCGAATCCCATTCCTCAAATATTGTTTGGTACACTATTTAAAAAATATTATTATATTTTTTTAATTACTTTTAGACCTCTTAAGTTTATTAATTTCATTAAATATCTTCAGAAAAAAAAAAAGTTTAAAAATTAACAAAAACACTTTTACCGACCCATACTTGTCAGATTTCGACAATCAACGTTGGTGGTAGTCAGAATCTATTACAACGGCCTACACCACGATCAGAACTGGTCGGTAATTTAGCGATCTAGCCTTCAGTTACGGCCAAAGAAATGACCATTGTTGATCGACAACGGCTTTGGCTGTTAACCAAAGATAGACTTTTGTGATTGTCGACAGCCATATTTGACCGTAGATCTGGCCGAAAAAGGTCATATCGATGTCATACCCTCTAGATCTGACTGGTATATGTCGTTAAATAATTTTTCGGCCAGATTCTTATGGTGGTGGCCGAAATTTGGCACTGCGGGTGGTGGGGGTGTTTTTATTATTTTACAAATTTTTTATATATTGAGATGTTTAATTAAATTAACAAACCTATGCGTTTTTTTAAAATTTTTAAATTTTACCTCATAATACTCTCATATTCAATTACATAATATTATTCTCAAAATCATATCCAAAATAATAAAAGAAACGTACACTTCAATTCTGCTTTTTGTGTACTTTTATAGTTATTAGTTATTTATTCGTTACTTTCTCAAAACAGCTTTTGCATCTCTGGTTCACTTTCATGGATGAAATCCAAATGGGTCTTTCACCAACTAAACTCCCGCCACCCTTCTTTGTCTTCTCTCTTTTCTCCACTCAAAACCAAAACAACCTCTCAACACCCATATTCAAGCTCTGCAAAACACGTCCTCAACCATGTACAAATCAGCCACCTCTTATCTGTTTCTGCAAAAGACGGCCAGTTTTATATGGGTCCTTCTCTTCACGCCTTCTTCGTCAAAGGCCCCCAGTATTTTGACGTCCAGAACCAATGTAACATTCATAATGTTGCCGTTATTTGGAACTCTCTTTTGTCTTTGTATACAAAATGTGGTCCCATAAATGATGCCGTTAAATTGTTCGACGAAATGCCGATTAGAGATACAGTGTCGTGGAATATAATGATATCTGGGTTTTTGAGAGATGGGGACTTTGATACTGGTTTTGGGTACTTTAAGAGATTGCTTGAATTAGGTTTTGATTGGTTAGATCAAGCTAGTTTTACTACAATGTTATCGGCTTGTGATATACAGGAGTATAGTTTTGTCACTAAAATTATACATTGTTTAGTTGTTTTAAGTGGGTATGAGCAAGAGGTAACAGTTGGTAATGCGTTGATTACTTCATATTTTAAATGTGGGAGTTGTGGTTTAGGGAGGCAGGTTTTTGGTGAGATGAGAGAAAGGAATGTAATTACTTGGACAGCTGTTATTTCTGGGCTAGTGCAAAATCAGTTGTATGATGATAGTTTGAAGTTGTTTGCAGAAATGCGTTGTGGATCGGTTAATCCAAATTTCCTAACGTACTTGAGCTCACTGATGGCATGTTCGGGTTTACAGGCATTAAGGGAAGGGCGTCAAATCCATGGAATTCTGTGGAAGTTGGGGAGTCAGTCGGATGTGCGCATCGAGAGTGCACTGATGGACATGTACTCGAAATGTGGAAGTGTGGAAGATGCTTGGCGGGTTTTTGAGTCAGCTGAGGAACTTGATGAGGTTTCGATGACTGTAATTCTTGTGGGGTTTGCACAAAATAAGTTTGAGGATGAAGCGATACAATTTTTCGTGAAAATGGTTAAGGCAGGAATTGAGATTGATCCAAATATGGTTTCAGCTGTTCTTGGGGTATTTGGTGTTGATACTTCTTTGGGTCTCGGTAAGCAAATTCACTCCGTGATTGTTAAAAGAGGCTTCACCTCTAATCCCTTCGTAAGCAATGGGCTGATCAACATGTACTCCAAGTGTGGAGATTTGAAGGAGTCAATCAAAGTTTTCAGTCGAATGTCTGATAAGAACTCAATCTCATGGAATACCATGATTGCAGCTTTTGCTCGTCATGGAAATGGTTCTAGAGCACTAGAGTTGTACGAAGAGATGAGATTGGAAGGTATCAAGCCAACGGATGTCACATTTCTCTCTTTGCTTCATGCTTGTAGCCATGTTGGCCTAGTTGAAAAGGGCATGGAATTCTTTAAATCAATGACTGAAGTTCACAAAATCAGTCCCAGGACAGAGCATTACGCATGTGTAGTCGACATGTTGGGTCGGGCAGGACTTCTCAACGAAGCTAAAAGCTTCATTGAAGGATTGCCCGTGAAGCCTGATTTACTGGTTTGGCAAGCCTTACTTGGTGCTTGCAGCATTCACGGCGATTCTGAAATGGGAAAATATGCTGCTGATCAGTTAATTCTGGCTGCACCCAACAGCCCAGCACCGTACATTTTACTGGCGAATATATATTCATCCAAAGGTAGATGGAGAGAAAGAGCAAGAACTATAAGAAGAATGAAGGAAATGGGGGTGGATAAAGAGACTGGTATTAGTTGGATTGAGATAGAAAATGCAGTCCATAGCTTTGTTGTTGATGATAGAAGTCATCCAAATGCTGAGATCATTTATGAAGTTCTAGCAGAGTTGTTTAGACACATGATTGATGAGGGATATCAACCAGATAAGAGGTTTATACTTCATTGTTTGGATCAAAATGATAAGGAGTAGCCAATTGTTGGATTTACTAACTACTAATTGAATTACAATTGGATAGAGATTTTTGAGAGAATTACAGTTGTTCCTTACCATTTTGGTTGTTTCCTATTTTCTCGAAAGAGTTTTAGGTACAACAAACATATCACAATATTTTTTATTTATTTCTAAGAATAAATATATCATCGGTTGTGATGATAATAAATTTTAAAAAGAGAAAATAAATACGTATATAATATATTTCTTTTATACGAATGCAGGGTTTTAAAAACCCTGACCAGACGGACCGGGAACCGGTTCCTAATCTGGTCCACTGAGTCATTGGATCGAATTGACCCAGGGTTGAATTGGCGGAACAGTGTTGAATCGTCGGTTCAATCGCTGGGTCAGAGAACTAGTGATGTTATCTTGATGTCGAATTGGTGACGCTAATATGATGTTAGCATGAAATTTATTAATTATTAGAGTTTTAAAATTTTATTACGTTATATTAACATCACCAGTCGAACTTGCTAATTGGTTCACCCGATCTAGGGGTTTGTCCTTTGATCGGGTCAAGGTCCGGTTTGGGAATAAAAACGTTGTACAAATGTAGAGATAATATAATATGTTAGTCCATTAAAGAATGTGTTAATGGCAATTAATATGAAAAAAATGGATAATTATTTAATTAAATTTGATAATATTCACATAGAAAAAGTTAGTGCTTTATTTTTTTAACTATCATGAAAATTTTATTAAACTAAGCTATATTATTCACCAAAACGGTACTGTTTTATTCAGTTTAGTCTTCGTGAACCAGTAGCAGTTATGTAGTTAAAACGGAGCAACTCCCTCCACGGCTTCACCACCAGAACCTGAGAAAAAAAATGGAACATTTGTGTCTCAACGGTTCGCTTCCTCTAATTCTTTCGATTCAAAAAGCAGTTGCAAAACCCAACCGTCACAACTTTCCCTCCCACTCAAGGACTCCACTTCGTTGCCCTTCTAAAACCTTCACCGTAAGAAACAGCAAAGAGACAACCGGAGACAGCGCTCCTCCTTCTCCTCTCTCCAGTTCTTCGGCTTACGCCATTCTCGGCGTCGAGCCAAGCTGCTCAGCCGCGGAGCTTAAAGCTGCTTTTCGTTCCAAAGTACAATCATCTTCCCTCAACTTCAATTGATTAAATTTAATATTTTCAAAATTTTGAATTGACAATTAGTTTTTTATTTTATTTTTTTATGAAGGTTAAACAATACCATCCAGATTTGAATAGAGATGGGAAAGATTCTGATTCAATGATTAGACTTGTAATTCAAGCTTATGAGGTACCAATATTTACCTGAATATTAAAAAATATTTTTTTTTTCCATTGGTGGTTGTGGGTAAATAATATATATGTGCAGATGTTATCGGAATACAGCCGATCGGAAATCATTGAAAGGTGAAATTGCTGTTCAATTTGTTTTTTAGAGAATGTTGTGTGCATTGCTTATTGTTGGAGATTCATTTGTAGGGAATGTTTAGATCCTTTTGATGATCCAGAATGTGAAGCATTTGATATATTCGTCAATGAGGTTCTCTGTGTTGGCAGAGGTACAAAAGATTTTTCTTCATTTGTTATGTTCAACCTAACCCTGAAGTTTAGCAGAAGATTGTTTAACTTGATACTCTAACCGGTTGATTTCATTATATGTTTTTCTGGTCTATTCTTTCGCATCTTGAGCATTAGAAGAGAAATTTGTTGAGTATATAATTTGTGAAATATTTTGTTTATGTATACCTGGATGTGAAGGGGCTAATTCGTGAGCATCAATTAGACAATTCTCAATGACATATTCGAGCTAGCAATTTTTACTCTGTCATGGATTGTGATTTTGTGGATCCTTTTAAGTTTAATCTACTTGAATGAGCATGTCTACACAGTTTTAACTTCTCTATGATTCTATTTTATTGTTACTGATCGCTCAACCATGCCAATATATGTGCAGGATGCCCATATTCATGTGTCAAAACAGCTCCTCATGCTTTCACATATGTTTCCTCAACTGGAACTGCAAGGGCAACTTCTCAAGGTTTGTTCAGTTCCTAGTGCATAAGCTTGTACTGTTTTATAGTCTTAGTGAATTAGTTCATAAAAGTGATCATCATGTAATGTAAGTTAAGTTTTTGTAATTGTTATGAAGAGTATATTATTCTATGATATTTTCAACTGAAACTGCCCTTGTGCGATTTTGATCAGGACATGGTGAAGATTACCAAGTCCAGCTTGCAGTTGGCCAGTGCCCAAGAAGTTGCATTCATTATGTCACGCCTTCCCAGAGAATTATTCTCGAGGAGTTACTTGAGAGGTAGTCATCTCTTGAACCTCCTTCAAGTCTTGTTTTATACGTGCAGTGTTATGGACTTGATTGAAATAACCATATAGTACAACTTAACGTTTAGCTGCTAATAAAGCAAACAAACAATTAATTGTGATTATGAACAACATTATAGCTGGTTATTTACTTCTGTTAACAAGCTTATTCTTACTTTGTATTAACATGCTTTATCTTGATTTTGTAGTATCTTGAATGTGCCTTATGATATATCAGCTGAGGCAGACTTGCTTTATTCTCTAATCACTAAAGCTAAGTTCGAGAACAATCGGTATCAAAAGCCAAAAAAGCAACCCAAAACTTCCTCCAAACATGTTGATTGGTTCTGACTTCTGGATACCATCTAGTTATGTGCTGTTAAAACTTATCTTCAGAAACTTGACATGTACTCAACATCACGGTCAAATACTTGAAGATGGAAGCAAATTCAATGAGATGTTGATGTCCATTTTCTGTATTTCAGTGCCGATGCTTCTTTGATGTTAGGTAGAAGTAAGCAATACCAGAATTGAGCCAAAGATCAAAATGCATCAGTGTGATGCTTGGACTATATGATCCCATATCTGGTTGCCGGAAGTTAGCTTTGTTCTCAAATAAAAAGGTCATAAGATGAGGGGAGAAATTATTCTTGTAAGAGGTTCTATATTAGTACAGTTTTTATAATGAAATGTACGTAGTGATGAAGATTATGTGTAATTAGAGACAGGAAATGTAAAAAAATTTCCCACATCATGCATTATCTGGGGAAATTTTTGGCAACAGCACAAAAGAGCCCAGAGAAAGGAAGGCATATCTCAAGATTCTATTGTGAAAATCTTGTATTATACATCATAATGTAGTTTAGTGCTAATAAACAATGACTGGAACAAAGCATAAAATTGCAAAACATTAACCCCAAATCCAATGGAGGAGGGTGGTAAAGAACAAAACTATTTTGAGATGGCTTTCATGAATCGGTTTAGTGAGGAGAAAATGCTTGCTGCTTGACTAAACAAAGAAGGGCCGTCCTCTGAGTTTGCTTCTACATCTCCAAATAGTATCTGCAAGGATCAAACAGAGTTGATGGAACTTTAATATGATCTCGAAGGCTTCAACAAGAATCTTTAACTGTACCAATGTAAATTAGTTTGAACATAAATTTTTGGTGGTGACTAACCTCAAGGTCTTCAGCATTCGGACGGCTTATAAATTCTTTAGCTAGGAGATACCTATTTGGCCTATCTTTATCATCATAAAACACCTTCCATAATCTGGTTCATTATCAGAAAAGAGGGAATTGGTAATAGAGTCTTATCAGATAGAGTCAATGGTGTGCACCATGAAACTGAAATGTCGCAAACTCAAAACTTAAAATGAGATCAAGTCTTTGCAGCACGCATTGGATGTATTAAGTGCTGGTGTCGAGTTTTTAGAGTTTTGCACAAACAGAATTCGCCTGGTTCACTTTGCAGAAGCTAAACCAGACGAGGTCGAGGAGATGTAAGGAATTAATCAGAATGTAAAATGAACATTACCCTGGATAACATCTGAACACAGCACCAGTTGGCAGAGGTCTCATCGAGTAAACTGTAGTGAAAGTGCTGCACATAAACCATGATAGAGTTAATTAAAGTTACAATTTGCAAACTAATGAAATTATTATTAGAAAATGTATGAATTGGCCACTGTAAATTTAAAGCTAAATAGTTTAAGAAATCTATTCAAACAACAGCCTTGGCAAAAGATGAAGTTTGTAAGCAATTAGAACGCGAAAACATATAATTCTAATCTTACCTCAGAAAGTACCGCCTTAAGTTGCGAACATTAATCCCAACTCCAACATCCTCACTGATGAGACGCGGATTCCACATGATCAGAGGCCTTGGCTAGCAATATATGAAGAAATACTGTAAGGAGGATTGTCCCTCTAGCTTAAGTTGGACAATAGAGGAAAAGAAATAATTAAATGGAAATACGGCCAGCTGAAGGTGCTGAGCTGACATGATACTATCTGAATGATGTAAACCTTGCTGGTATAAAGATACAAATGAGCACCTTTCATCCAGTAGGATGAGAGTTTTTTAAAATAAAGATGGCAGATAATTTTTTTCCTTTAATATCCAAAATCAGTGTCTTTCATCATGGAGAAATGACTGAAAAGGGTTGTTTGTAATACGGAAAGGGGTAGTAGGAATCATACTGGATCATCGGAGAGATTTGATGCAATTTTCTCTACATATTGCAACATCTGATAGTCAGGAACAACCATAACAACAATCTCATCTTCATTCTCCACAGGTTTTCGGTCACTTAAACTGGATAATGAGACAAAAGAATTGCATATTAGTGAGTTATTAGATACATTAGTATGAACTAAAACATAAACATAATATATTTACATCTCATCAATATGTAGAAAGTTACCTGGAAAATCCAAAAGCAGCATCTTTCCACCGATATTTTAGCAGTGCAGCAGCACCGGCATCTGGAAATATGGCTTTTACTTTCTAACATGCAATATTTAACATTTTAGCAACTGAGCTTACATTTTGAATAAGTAAAAGCTAAAAAACAATATAAAGAAAGCAAGAGCACCTTCAGCTGTTCATATAATACTATCTTACATTAGTACAGAAAACACACTTCTATTTTGTGTTTTGGCAGAAGTTTAAATTGATAGTTGTCAAGGCTTTTTCATATTTTAGCATCAATGGAAGTAGTTCCTCCAAACTATACTTGTTTAAAGTAACTCTTAAAACTAACCTGACATCCTGTTTCCTCAATAAGAGTATCCAAAAAAGTCCTAGACAATTCCCAGAGTTCACTCTGTGCTCCTTCGTCATCTAGAAACTGCAGCTGGGGGATCAAGAGCTCAACCTGCAAAATAGTTAAGAATCTAATGAAAGAACTAGAAAACAGAAAGAGAAAAACACAGTGAAATAAATAAACCCAAGCTAACATAAAATCAGAATCCCTCAGGGAGAATTTCTCTACACAACGCTTTCCACAAATTGTATTAGCTCACTGTGGACAGGTCAAAGCTGAATCCACTGATTGGAAACAAGATAAATTTTGCAAAACTGTTGTAAACTAGCAGAAGTACTGGCTACATCATTTACAAACGTTTTGTTAGTCAAGTAGTATCATAAAGATGATCCATAGCAGAAGAAAAAGGAAGACCACAGATTCTTTAACTCTTATATTTGGCACATACTATGGCTCTCATTCCTCCTGAAGAAACGAACAACGAACTTGCTTCACTTGATTGCCGGACGGCACCTTCCAAATCTGAAGGCAAGCAGCTGAAACATCAAATAGAGACCATCAATTTTTTTTGCTTCTCCTTTTCTCAAGTGAAGGGCATCAATCACTCTACCCCATGTTTCAATCTGGATAGAACATTTCAAGCCCAAAGAAACTTTTATATTAAAGCATATCAACTTCCCAAATCCATCTAAAATTTCAAGGTTGTTTAGGGTTTATACATCTGAAACGTTTTGCAAGATTTACAAAGCAGAATATTCACCCCTCAGTATATAAAAGCATCCAATTATAGATTCTTTACGAACTGTTCTCTTAATTTGTTCATGCAAATGGGGTCATCTACATAATTATACAAAAATCAAAGTAATCTCTCTAATCAATAAATGATCAAAAGGTCAAAATGATATCACCCTCCATCAAAAGGCACACCATTTATAGATGAAACAAGATAAAAATCTGAAGAAAAAAAATACCCAGATGAGCACTTGTATATAAAAAGAGCTTAAAGGCAATGGAACCTGTCATCTTCTTCTTCTTCTTGTTCTTGTTCTTGTACCTGTTGTTGAATTGTTTGTGGTTGTGCTTGAAAAGAAGAGTCTTCAAGAGGATCATCACCTTGGAACTTCTCAAACTTGGCGTAAGTTGTTGATGAGGTGGACCAAGGTGGTGTCTTGAGTGAAATTCCATTGTAGCCATTGAAGAATGAAAGAGAAGAAGAAGAAGATAAGGGTGAACGAGTGGTTGGTGTTGAAGCTGAGTTGCAGTAGAAACTACAGCTTGGCATTGAAGAAGAAGCCATGAATCAACTTAACTACCAACTGCTTTTAACTGGATGGTGTTAATAATTTCATAGTATTATATTCATCAAATACAAAATAATAATAATAAGGTTCTTCCTTATAAAATTCATTTTATTAAGAAAAATAATCAAAACTAAGAGTTAAACTTTTTAAATAAATTATAATAAAAAGTTATTAACTTAAAACCCCATTTATCTGACTTTCCTTAAAATCTTATAATTTTTTTTTTAGAAATCCAACTTTATAATAAAATTTAAATACTCTTTCATAGTGTAGTTGGAGGTGAGATTTTGGTGTGACAATTTCTGAGACTTGAATGCCAAATTGATAACTTCACCATAACAACTTTAATCATGGGTGAATAAATAACTTCCTATACATATTATTCTTAACCAATTGTATATTGTCTCAAACATATTCTTCATTCAATTTGAGCGCAAAATAAATAAATACAACAGCTGCCAATTGACTTTATATAATACAACCATGGATTTAATGAAACTGAATAAACATCGGCACACACCACCCATATCCAATCAGGCACTCTCTCATTTATTGCTAAGACAGAATATAATCATTGAATGGGCAAAAAATTGTCTTCAGCCTAACGAGGCCGAAATAAACATATTACGGTCCAATGTCTTAGCCTAATTATGGTTAGGCTTATGCTTAGAGTCATATTGTGAACTGTTCACTCTATGAGTTAAGTTATCTTACAAGTTAAACTGAACTGAGTTCCGACCCATCAGCCTATAACAATCCATAAATAGAAAATCAGAATCTTATTCTATTTCCTCTTCTACTAAGATTCAAAATCTTACTCAAATTAGTAAACTTAATCTGATAAAGGCAAGAAATCTTATTGCTTTCCTGATAGTGATTATCTCCTGAAGTAGGACTCGATATCCTACTGGGATTGCAACCCCTTGGGTTCACTATATAAACAGAGGCTTGCCCTCACATAATTCATTCAATCTCCAATATTCTACACCTTTGTCGTGGTCCTGGCCTCCGACAAGACTCCTGGTAATATTTCTTTTCATAATTCTCATTAAATCGTCTCTTTTAGCCTTGTTGACTTGAGCGTCAAAGTGCCAATGACAAACACCACCCTGGTGTTTTCTGTAAGCTTCATGCTTGTCTTTTTATGTGTGCAGGTCTAACAGATTGTCAATGACCTCAACTTTATGGGATCAGACCCTATTTCCGTAACAGTAGATTTTTTGCATCTACAATCATCTTCCCATTTTGTGCAAATTGAATTTTATAACACATGAATACATAACTCAGTTGTTACTGATCGTACTTTAACAATCATGATGGTACTCCGTAAGAAAAAAACTGAAAGAATAAGCAAAGGAATCCAACACCTCACTCTACACAACGTCAATGAGTAGTTTGTTACGAAAGGATTGCACGTCTTCCAGACCAAACCAATCCTCATTCATCTGCAGTGTTCAACATAAAAGAATTTTAAAAAATTGAATAATGTATTCAAATTACAGAGGAATTTTATTTTCAAAGTCCATTATGTTACAATAGTCCGAAACTTACAAAGTCAGGGTAGCCATCAGTAAATGAAAAACTCGCTAGGGCACGTTCAACGAACTTATAAATGTAGTAAAGGATAAAACATCCACAATCAGTTTGGTTCCTTTGCTTGAGAACCTAGGTGCAATTACATTTAGTCAGCTATGACATAAATGAAAGAAGGGCAAGATAAATAACTAACTTTTGAACTACGTTGTCATCACCTTAGGAACTAGTAAAGGTATCCCAGCAACCCTATTCTTAAGTTTTGGCATTGTTTATGCTTCATATATGTCCATGGCAAACCTGCCAAGTCATTTTTTCAGTTGAAAGTATGCTCATGCTAGCGCACTAATTCATAAAATACTGATGTACTTACTAATCATGTTAAAAATTAGATTTCAAGTTTCGTAAAACTTACTTCCTTATTAGTGGTTCAAACCTCATCGGGTCAACCGTTCGCAGTGAATCTAGCAGCATCATGTAGTGTGTTTTGGGATGCAACAGTGATCTTCAGCTAAAGTTGCATATGATCAATACAACCCAATGACCCCTACAAAATTTTGCACCTCAAAATTTTTAACAGCACACTAAGCTCAAGTTAAAAATAACTCCATCATTTGTAAATAACTAAATACGATTCACTTACCATAGCACAATGGGAACAAATACATATTTACTAGAGAATATGTCCTCTTTCTTTATCCATTTCAGAACCTTCTGTTTGTGACATTCTTTTGAGTACAGATAAAACCACATGGAATCCAAACACTTAAAATTAGATATGTGATCTGGTGCAAAACTCTTCCACATATTGTTGTGAAAACCGAAGTTGTCAACCATCGNCAATATAAAAGAAAAGAGTTTTTTGTAAAATGTAAGTGTTAATTAATAATTTCATTTTTCTCTTTGAAAAAGAAAAACACAGCAGCCCCATTTTTCCTCTCCCACGACATAATTCATTTTTTGTCCAAAATCAATCTATTTGATTTTTCTTCTTTGATCTTAAAGCTAAAGATGATCTAGCAAATCCCTCTTTAGTTCTTTGTGATTGTCTTCGTGTGGACAACGTCGGTTCGATCCTACACTTGGGTCCGTAGCAAAAACGTTCATAGAAAAATTTGGAGGAGACTCCAAACATGCGTATGTTTTTCTAAACTCGTGATTAATTTTTCTGCAGATTTCTACTTTGAAATAAACTGTAAAATTATTTGATCTTGGCTCTTTGGAACAATCCTTGTATTATGCTTTTTTGTTTTCTGCTGCATATATGGATCGTTTCCTTATAGTATAGGCAATGGAAATAAAATTTAAAAAAATATTGTAAACCCATTCCTTTTCTTTATTGGTTAGATGCTATATTTGATCCTAGAATTAAAGTAGTAGGTTCAGAAAGTGGTTTAGACACATTAACTGAAAATTTACAAAACGAAGCATATGCCAATCAACTAGGAGAGGTAAGAGAGTGTCTTGCAGATGTATATTTGTAATATGAAAATAGGTATGGGAACCAACAAAGAGGCGAAATACCCAGGGAAGTTGCATCAAAAGAAACAAATGAAGACTTCGATTCCTAGAGTGCACTTAATAGGCCGAAGAGGACCCGAACCTGAAGCACAACCTCCTCTTCAAGAGCACCAACAATGAATGTACTGTTGTCCATGCAGTTACAAAGTAATGAGCTTCACCAATATTTGGGAACCCCCAAAGTGTTACCAGCAAATCCACAACAAAGAGCCAACTTTGATGTCTTAGAATATTGGAAAACCAGAAAATGTATTTTTCCGGTATTATCAAGACTTGCCTTGGATGTTTTCTTTGTTCCTATCTCAATCGTCTCATCCGAACAAATATTTAGTGCAAGTGGAAGAATTTTAAATGAAAGGAAGACTAAATTTTCACAAAAAATGATTGAAGTCCTCAAATGTCTTCGAGATTGGGAACGGTCGTACCATCAAGATCAATACAAGGTTGTCGACGATACTTTAATAGTATCATTTCAATTTTGTAATATAGATGATACGGATGAGGGAGGTCTTAGTCAACCCCCAAATTAGTTGTTTTGTAAATTATAATTTGTAAATTAATTGTCAATTATTGCACTCTTTTTTCCTTACCAAGTTTTTGTCTCATTGGGTTTTTCTTGGTAAGGTTTTTAACAAGGCCATAATTGTTATAATTTCTTATTTTATTTTTTGATAAATGAATAAATCTAATTTTTCTTATATTACAATTTCATTGTATTAAAATTGAATTAATATTTGAAATGTTAACAAAAAAAATTTAATTTAATTAAATTATTGATATTTGAAAAGTTAACTAAAAAGTAAAAACAATTACACAAAACAAAAAAATAAAAAAAAATTATGGGCTAACCCGGCCCAGTGCGGCCCGGCCCGCATCAAAACCCGTCGGGTTAGGGTTGGCAAGCTGGGCTGTGCTAGCCTTTTTGGCCAAGAGACGGGCCTAACCTGGCCTGCCCTTGTTGGCTAGCTGGGTTAGGCCCGGCCCGCCAATTCCTATAACCCGTCGCGGGCCGTGCGGGTTACTTTTCCACCTTTAAATTGGACTTTGGGGCCGGGCTTCCTTCACTTCACACATGTATCCACTGGGCAATATTAAAAAAAAACAAATCACTAATAAAATAAAATATAATGGGAGAATTTTAGAAAATACCCTTTACTTTTTGCTGATTACTTATGACACTTTTACGGGAAATAGTTTAAAACAGTCCTAGTCCTAATCCCATCCAATTTCGTCCTTTGAACTACCCTTTACTTTTTGCTAATTAAACTTATTGTCACATTACTTTGAATAAAATTCTTTGATTTCTTTATACGTGAAGTGTTATTAAAAAGATTTTCCTCTTAATGAAGATTCAAATTTATTCATCACTAGTTCACTACTTAAGTGAAATTAAGTTATATGTGTGAATGATATTTTTAATTTTTTTATGTTTGTATAATAAGTTATATAAAATATTATTAACATTGCTTTGGTTAAAGTTTCAAATTGATTGCTTAGAAGTGTTGGGTGTGAATCTTGGAAATAGCAAAAACAATTTCAAATATATTTAAGTGAGGACAAAATAGTAATTTTATATAAATTTCAACTTGCAAGTTAAGAGAATTGAATGGTAGACCTGGCAAAACGGGTCTAGACCCGCGGGTCAGCCCGTACCCGGGTAAAAAATATAGGGTATGGGTTTAATATGTTGGACCCGTTTAATTCCCACCCGTACCCAGCCCGACCCATTTTTTGACGGGTTACACGGGTAAACCCGCGGGTGCCCGTAGGTACCTGTTTTTTTAAAAGCTAAACCCTAAGTCGCTAACCCACTAAGGCATTAACGCCACCTAACTCTAAAACAAACTTTCTCTTCTCTCTCGCGCCTCTGAATCTCTCATCACTGTCACTGATTCATTCTCTCAATCTCTCATCTCATCACTCAGTTCAGTGTTCACTTCAGTAAACTGTCATCACTCATCACTATCATCATCTGTCATCACTATCATCATCAGTCATCACTCTCATCCGTGAACCGTGATCCCATTCCCAGACGCACCGTCGCCGATTTCCGTCATTCATCCTCGTCGGCTCGTCATCTCCTCTCTCTATCGTCGTCGTCATGATTGAAGGAGTTGGTTCTTGTTTTTGTTACCAGTGAGATTGGCTATTGAGCTCATTTAATGTTCGATAAGGTCTCTAAAAGATGAAATCATGTGATTTAAAAACATTATTTTTTAAGATCTTTAGTGACCGAAGTGAGGGTTTTGACTGCTTTATTTGTTGCTTCTTCTATTTCTGTCATTTGAATATTTATATTAGGGTTTTGTTGTTGCTTTAGAGCTAGTTGAAGAGAGTAGCAATTTCATGGATGAGGATGGTTTATCGAACACAAACCGAGAAATTTTTCCAGCTCAAGGGCCAACCCTTCCAATATTGCAGAAGATTATATGTTTGAGCAATAAGATTCAGGTAAAATGGCGCTTCTTGTATCACTTTCACTTTATTTCTTGCTGACAGAAGTAGGATAGTTTAGTCTTATTTTAGGCAATTGAGTTTCAGAAAATGAACGATTTGTGTTCAGTTTATTTGTTAGTGTAGGTAATTGCTCTGTTTGGTATCAAGTTCTGTAAAATTTAGAGTCTTCTCTTTGTTTTTGTTTTTTTTATTGGTTTCGGGATTAATGTTGATGCTTTATGTTATAGGATTTGAAGAGAGATCACTCAAGTCTTTCAGATCAAGTGAAGAACATGAATACTGATTGTTTTCCTGGCCCTGGTGTTTTAGACAATCTTCAGAATCTCAGTGAGTATCAGATACTGATTTTGGCAATTGTTTCTCGCCTTTTTTTTTTTCTTTTGTTTTAGTGATTTTAATTGCTATTTTTGGTATTAGGTAATGAATATGAGCTTTTAAAAAAGAAATACATAGATGAGTCCTCTGAACAAAAGTGGCTTTACAATGAAGTGATTGAGCTGAAAGGCAATATTAGGGTCTTCTGCCGATGTAGACCTTTAAATCAAGCTGAAATTACTAATGGGTCCAGTTCTATTGTTGAATTTGACTCTTCTCAAGAAAATGAGCTACAAATATTTTCTGTCAAGTGAAAGGTCAGAAGCTCCTTGAGTTCCATTAAAGTTGTAGAACCTAAAGTGGATTGGAGAGCAAGAGCTTCTACCAATGGTGTGAGAGCCCGAGAGTACAACCAAGTCAAGGATGTTTAATCCTTTGCTTTCGAATAGATTAATCAAAGTTGTGATGTTTTCATTTCCTTGAGGAACCAGACGATTGGCTTCTCTATTTATGGAGATTCTTCCATCTTTTCGTCCAAATGGGACTTCCCAGAATGGACCTCCAGCTAGAAGCGTGGCATCTCTAGCGACTGCTGTGAGAATGTCTGCACATGAAACAGTTTTGGGGCACTGTCTCTGAACTTCTGATTTGATATCATTGATCACTTTGTAACCTCTTAGATTCTTGCTTGCCTTCTTATTAGTTGCAGGTTTTGGAGGCACATTATTAGCCAACACAACTACGGAGAGCTGCAATTGAACAACAAGTATCAGAACAAAGAGAGAAATAGGATTCATTTTCATTGGCAAGCTAGAGCAGGAAGCATGAAGCTTTTTTGAAGATTACTGGGTGTCTTCTTATATATAAATTGTAGTTCGTTTAACTAATTAAATATAATTATATACAAGTTCTAGTAGACTCCTGCATAAAAAATAATTCCAAGATAAAACTACGTGAGAGGCAATCTTAGATCAAAGTAGAAAGACAGACATGTATATATGTAAAAGTTATTAGATCTACTTATAATTAAGTCAAATAATAGTTTATTAATTCTCAATTTCTGTTACATTTGTTAATAAAATTATATGAGGCAGGAGCATTAGAGGTTCTAGTGTCCACATCAAATCTTCTAAGTGTCAAAATTATGCTCTATAAATATTTTGGGGTGTAATTGTCATAATTGAGAACTATTGGGGTTGAAACTGTAAAAATTAAAATCTGGAGAGAGAAAAAAGGGGTACCCGCAGCCACCCGTACCCGCATAGGGTAGGGTACGGGTCCAAAGGTCCAATATTTTGGACCCGTATACCTCGACCCATATTGGGCCCGTACCCGTTTGACCCATACTAGTTTGGGCCCGACTCGTACCCGGCCCACCCGCTCGTTTTGCCAGGTCTAAATTGAATGGAATTAGGGTTCAGGGGTGGTTTTGACTATTTCCCACAAAAGTGTCGTAAGTGTTGATTAGCAAAACGTGAGGGGTTGTTAAGAAATTCTCCCATAAAAAAAATTATAAACGAATAGTTAAACGACTTTTAGCTCTTTTTTGTAAACTAAATTTAATGGTACTCTGGAGTCCGGATTAGGGAGAGAGGGACAGACAGAACCCTACACAACCAAAAGTTGTTATTGTTACAGTTCTGACTTGACTTTCTTCTTTCTCAGATTAAAGTTTGTTGATTTTTTCTTTAGATCTCTTGTTTATTTCATTTCTGTTTCACAAATTTTCAGTTTTTTAGAGGCTTCACGTTTTCCTTGGTAAGTTTTAGGTTCTTGAGGCTTAAACCAAATCTCTGTTTTACTTGTTTCTTTTGTGATGTTAAGGGTCTTATTTTAACATTTTTGTTGCATTTGTTTTCTTGTTTTCAGATCTTTGGTGGGTTGCGATTATGCTGTAGAGCTTTGGCCGGCTTCCGATTTTTTCCCACTACAGGTAAGAACCCACTTGCTTGGTTTTTTTTCTTTTTCTGTTTTGAAGTAGTTAATTATATGCTCATTTGGATNCGTTTTGCCAGGTCTAAATTGAATGGAATTAGGGTTCAGGGGTGGTTTTGACTATTTCCCACAAAAGTGTCGTAAGTGTTGATTAGCAAAACGTGAGGGGTTGTTAAGAAATTCTCCCATAAAAAAAATTATAAACGAATAGTTAAACGACTTTTAGCTCTTTATTGTAAACTAAATTTAATGGTACTCTGGAGTCCGGATTAGGGAGAGAGGGACAGACAGAACCCTACACAACCAAAAGTTGTTATTGTTACAGTTCTGACTTGACTTTCTTCTTTCTCAGATTAAAGTTTGTTGATTTTTTCTTTAGATCTCTTGTTTATTTCATTTCTGTTTCACAAATTTTCAGTTTTTTAGAGGCTTCACTTTTTCTTTGGTAAGTTTTAGGTTCTTGAGGCTTAAACCAAATCTCTGTTTTACTTGTTTCTTTTGCGATGTTAAGGGTTTTATTTTAACATTTTTGTTGCATTTGTTTTCTTGTTTTCAGATCTTTGGTGGGTTGCGATTATGCTGTAGAGCTTTGGCCGGCTTCCGATTTTTTCCCACTACAGGTAAGAACCCACTTGCTTGGTTTTTTTTCTTTTTCTGTTTTGAAGTAGTTAATTATATGCTCATTTGGATGTATCATTTCTGCAATTGAAAGAAACTGTAGTCCCTATGCGTTGAATCAGTAAGATACAAGCTATGTTGGTGTGATAGAAAATAGGAGGAAGGAAATTAAAAGAATTTGTGTGAATTTTGAATTAATTCACATGGATCAACAGGGTAGTATTATCTTCTGCAAGTTAATAGGAATTTTTGGCCAACTAAATTCACATAGTATTTCGGTAAAATAGTTTTGATTATAGGTTCTACTTTGACATCTTTTTATTGGAAGGAGGTAAATTCTTATGATAGTTGTGATAAGTTTAGTAAAAGTGAGGTGGCTTCTCCGTTGAAAGTTAGGCTTAAGTACCTGAAAAGGATGGTGCTATACTTCTATGAAAGCAAAAGGTTATATATTTAAAGTTGGCCAATTCAAGCGTCTTTTAAGTCCATGTGAGGCTGCTTTAGTTTTTCTTTTCAATTTGCTTTTTTTTTTTTTCTCACACAAGTACAGTATAATTTATCAACATTCGGAAGAGAGAGAGATATATACGACGGTTGTCCACAGCTTGTAAAATGTCTTTCCGAAGCATAGTTCGTGATGTAAGAGATAGTATTGGGAGCTTGTCCAGACGGGGTTTCGATGTTAGATTGACAGGCCATCATAGAGGGAAATCACATGGTTCTTTACATGATTTACATGACCAGCCTGATGTAATTCAGAATAGTCGCTGGGCTAGTCTTCCTCCAGAACTACTTTTTGATGTAATCAAGAGGCTGGAGGACAGTGAGAGTTCTTGGCCTGCTCGAAAGCATGTTGTTGCATGTGCTGCAGTTTGCCGGGCTTGGAGGGCTATGTGCAAAGAAATTGTTAGAAGTCCAGAGTTCTGTGGGAAGCTTACTTTCCCGGTTTCCCTGAAGCAGGTAATGCCTACTGCTCATTCATTCTGTTGTTTTTCTTGGATTCTTGTGGAAAATTGATTTTCCTCATACAAGCTATTAAACATTTATTCTTTATCTATTAAACACTTATTTGAAGAATATAATTTTTGTTAAAATTTACTTTTTACATCATCTGGCATTTGCAGATAATTATAACTAATTTCGTTTGGTTTCTAATTTGCAGCCTGGGTCACGTGACGGAACCATTCAATGCTTCATTAAAAGGGATAAATCTAATTTAACATATCACCTCTTTTTGTGTCTTAGTCCTGGTGAGCATTGCATCTTGTTTGTTAGCGTAAATTTTTTAATTCATATATGTCGTTGCGTGTTATCTTTATGAGGTTGTAGATCTTTGACGTAGGACAGGACAGCGAAAATGAAAGGGCAAAGATAATTGGGAGAGAAGAAAGTGTAGAAATCAGATAGATATTGTAGGAAAGCAATTTTTCTTTTTCATTAATCATTCAAGTTTTTTTGTTCTACATATATATAGAAAGCCTACTCATAGGGCTTAAAATGATAAAATAATCCATCAAACAACATGATGAATATGATAAGCCTATCTAAAAAAGAAATTTAATCCTAATGCCCATAAAGATACATTATTGAATAAATAATTAATTAATATGTTTTTAGAAGATAATCATATGAATATGAAATATCCTAAGTATCTGAATCGTACATGTTTGTTTAATTCAATGAAGGACCAATAATTCGGTTTGACAGAAAAGTGTAGCTATCATCCCTTTTTCCGGTGAATCTTATAGTCATATGATACATCAACTAACAAGGTTGTCAACTGAATTGCATTTCCAGTTGAAATGACCGAGTAGGATATATTGGTTAATGTATGCTGTAAAGTTGAAAAATAGCATAATTAAAAATCAAATCAAAAGCAAGAGTCTTTAGTATATGGAATGGAAATTAGAGATTAAATTCATTATAGGTTCTAGAGTCTTTGGGAGGATATCTATCAGTGCCCTCCGGCTGAAGAAAAGTTGTCTTCCTAGAAATTAAGTTCAAGTGTTTAGAAAACTTGTGCTGTCTAGTATGCAGCTAATGACTTAAGTGTCCAATATTATCTTGCCAAATGCTGGGTAGTGGGTATTAATCACTAATCATTATAAATGTTATATGCTTGATACCAGTTATCGTGGATGTGACCTATTAGTGTAACAGTCTTATTGTAAATAAGGTTAGTTGAAAAGAAATTTGAGAATACTTTAGGGTGCGTTTGGTTCAATATTTCTACCCGTATTCCCAATCCTATTCTCAAAATGTTGTTTGGCACATTATTCCAAAAATATTACTATATATTTTTTAATTACTTTTGGACCCCTTAAGTTCATTAATTTCATTAAATACCCCCCCAAGAAAAGTTTAAAAATTAACAAAAACACCCCCAATAACCCATACTTGCCAAATTCCAGTAACCACCATCGGTGGTAGCCGGAATCTGTACAACGGCCTACACCACGACGGCCACTGGCCAATAGTTCACCAATCTGGTCGTCAGCGACGGCCATCGTTGATCGAAAACGACGGCCATATCCTTCTTTGGCCTTTTTCGACTGTCGACGGCCACATTTGGCTGTAGGTCTAGCCTTTTTCGGCCAGATCCGTGGCGGATCTGGCCGGAAAAGGCCATAGCGACGCGCTATGACACAGATTCGACCGGTCTGTGTTGTAATGCAATTTTCCGGCCAGATTCCGGTGGTGGTGGCCGGAATCTGGCACTGCAGGTGGTGGGCGTGTTTTTGTCATTTTATATGTTGGGGTGTTTAATTAAATTAGTAAGCCTAGGGTCTTTTTTATAAATTTTTAAATTTGACCTCGTAATACTCTCTTATTCAACTACCCAATATTATTCCCAAAATCCTATCCAAAATAATAAACCAAACGCACCCTTAGATATTAGTATTTGGTATGAGAGCAAACTCAAGTATTAGTGGAATCTGATCTTATATAAAATCCTTTGGGATGTGTACATAGTTATAATTTATATTCTAATATACTCTGAAATATATACAATTAATGAGCTCTAAACTTTCTTGATCTCCTAGTTTGAATCAACCGCCTTTTTTATTAGACATGATTTGAAGTACAAGAGGTTTTCCTTTTTCTTGCTTATTGTACTTACGACAAGATAAACTTTACCTTTCTTGCAGCCTTATTAGTTGAAAATGGGAAATTTCTTCTTTCTGCGAAAAGGACCCGTCGAACTACTTTCACGGAGTATGTAATCTCAATGGATGCTGACAACATTTCAAGGTCAAGCAGTACTTATATTGGAAAATTGAGGTAAGACTACAGACAGAAAACATTCAAAACCTGTTCTGAAGTGGGTTATAAAACCTGTTTGGATATATGGTCTTCTTACTCTATCACAATTCCGTTAAAGTTAAATATTGCATATGTTTTAGCTTGGCATCAAGCTTGATTGGAGATTTTTTTTTTTTTTTTCTTTTTTCTTTTATTTCTTGCTTCAAGTTTTCATTGTGAAAAATAAAGGCTATAAATTTTTTTTTTTTTTCTTTTTTCTTTTATTTCTTGCTTCAAGTTTTCATTGTGAAAAATAAAGGCTATAAATTGGTCTCTATTCAGAAGATTACATTAAATAATCTAACTGTTTAATGTTGCAGATCAAATTTCCTTGGGACAAAATTCATAATATATGACACACAGCCACCATATTCCTCTGCCAATATTCCTCCTCCGGGATGTACAAGTCGTAGATTTTATTCCAAAAAGGTTTCCCCAAAAGCCCCGACTGGCAGCTATAATATAGCCCAGATTGCATATGAGCTGAATGTGCTTGGAACCCGTGGCCCGCGAAGGATGCATTGTATCATGCACTCAGTTCCAGCCTCAACAGTTGATGCAGGTGGCACTGTACCTGGACAGCTGGAGCTTCTTCCCCGCTCTCTTGAGGACTCATTTCGCAGCATCTCCTTCTCAAAGTCCCTTGACCACTCAGTTGAATTCAGCAGCGCACGATTTTCTGAAATCGGTGGGCCTCATGATGACAATGGGGATGGAAAAATAAGGCCCCTGATTCTCAAAAACAAGGCCCCAAGATGGCATGAACAACTGCAGTGTTGGTGCCTGAATTTCCGGGGAAGGGTAACCGTTGCATCTGTTAAGAATTTTCAGTTAATTGCCGCTACACAGCCAGCTACTGGTGCACCCACTCCATCACAATCAGCTCCACCTGACCATGATAAGATAATTCTGCAGTTTGGCAAAGTCGGAAAAGACATGTTCACCATGGATTATCGATATCCTCTCTCAGCGTTTCAGGCATTTGCCATCTGCTTGAGCAGCTTTGACACCAAACTTGCCTGTGAATAGAACAATAAAAACACAATACTTAAAGTGTGGTAAGAGCAAAGAGTAATAACCACCATTTCTTAGTGTTTTCTTGTTTTTTTTTTTTATTTTCATTAGGATAGAAAATTGTTGTCAATGTTATTGTGTTGTGTAAAATCTTGATTGTAACTTTTGTGAATGTCCTAATAACAGGACTCATAATTGTAAACACGAATCTGATTGTTACCTTTAAACCTAACATTTTCTTCATTTCTTACTTTAATTATAAATACAAACTGTTGTGATGTCTATTTATAGTTTCTGGAATGATGAATTATAATAAAAAAATAAAATTATAGATTTTGTTGATGTGAGGAAATTGCATTAATAAAAAGATAAATTATTAATATATTGAATTTTATTATACAAAGTCTGTATTTTGTTTTGGAAAAAAAAAAAAAAAAAAAATAATAATAATAAATGAGAATAATACCCATATGATAAGTTAAATTTATTATAATCTGTTCAGAAGAGAAACAAATTTAATATGAATATTGAATATTGATTGGTTTTATATTCAACTAGTTGAAATCTTGGTTTTAAAACCTGGCCGGTCCAATCAGTTCAACTAGGACCTAGACATGTGTCCGGTCCAAGCTAATATAAAACCAAGTAATATACAAAAAGCCGTTTTGACCCATTATAAAACCGGATGAAAAAGTGAAAACCGTCTAGTCAACCAAACTGCCTGGAAAACTGGTTCTCTATTTCAAAAAGAAAAAAAGAAAAAAGCCCTGAGTTTGAGTTCATTCTCTGTTAAAGTGAAGAAGAAGAAGTAAGGAGAGGGGAAGAAAGAAGTGGCCGGTCCGATTTGGATCTCGTTTAGCCAGATTGCGGCGGCCAAGACCTTCTTGGCCATCAAGTGAAATAAGAGGGAGGGGAAGGAAGAAGAAAGAGAAGGGGAGACGAAGAGAAAGAGGAAAGAAAAACGTTTCAGTAGAGAGAGTGGAAAGTGATAGAAAAAAGAAGAAAGTGATGGGGAGAGAGAAAAACAAATAATAAATAATAAATATAGTAACAGAGTAATTGTTTAGGAATGTGTGTTGTACACCGGTCAAACCGACCGATTCAACCGATTGGATCGGTTAAACCGAGAATCGGCCTCATGACCGGGTCAAGAAACCGTTCAGTTTTTAAAACAATGGTTGAAAGTTCTCCATGTTACGCAGGTTGCCTATGATATTGGATTTGACACCACGTTTATTTGAATAATTGGATGTTTCAATTGGTTGATATCTGCTATTGAAGTACATATATTGTATAGGTTTATTAAATTAAAGATTTTAATTTTATGTAGTTTTACGTTATGATTTTATTTTGTGGTGTCGTTTTTTAGCGTCAAAATGTCTAACATTTTAAAACGATGTCGTTTCATACATTGTTTTAAATAACTTGTCATTTCCCTAAAGTGCGGCTTGACCGTAATTAGAAGGGTCTACAATTATCCAAATTCATCATATAATATATTAAATTAAAGCCTTGTCGGTCTAGTTTTCACATATTTAAATCACGCATTAATTAGATTTTTATTGAGCTAAGGTATGACCAATTTATAATTGATTGTTCAATGAAAACCGAAAAACAAGGGAAACCGAAAAGTTTATGATGATAAAATGAATGGTTGGGCAACGGGTCTACCATTATCCAAATTCAACGTGTGTGTGTGTGTGTATATAAAGCTCTTTTTGTCTAGTTTCAAAAGATTCAAATTGCTCATCAATTGGATTTTTATTAAGCAAGTTATGCCAGAATTACTACCGACTGTTCAGTGGAAATCGAGAAACAGAGGAAACCGAAATGTGTGTGAGGTAAAATAAATGGTTTAACAGCGGGTCTATCATTATCCAAATTTAGCATATAATATATTAAGTTAAAGACCAATCTGTTTAGTTTTCAAATATTCAAACCTCTAATCAATAGGATATTTATTGAGCAAGTTATGACCCATTTATTACTGATTGTTCAGTGGGAACTAAGAAACAGGGGAAACCAAAATGTGTGTAATGATAAAATGAATGGTTCGGCAGTGGGTCTACAGTTATCCAAATTCAAAGTATAATATATCAAATTAAAGCCCTATCTGTCTAGTTTTGAAATATTCAAACCGCTCATCAATTACGCTTTTATTGAGCAAGTTATGGTTAATTTACTACTAATAGTTCAGTGCAAACCGAGAAATAGGAGAAACCGAAGTATGTGTGATGATAAAATGAATGGTTTGGCAGTGGGTCTACAGTTATCCAAATTTAACATATAATATATCAAACTAAAGTCCTATCTGTCTAGTTTCCAAATATTTAGACCGTTTGTCAATGGGATTTGTATTGAGCAACTTATGGTCAATCTACTACTGACTATCCAATGGAAACCGACAAATGGGGAAACCGAAATATGTGTGATGAAAAAATGAATGGTTCGGTAGTAGGTCTAAAGTTATCCAAATTTAGCGTATAATATATCAAATTAACACTCTATCTGTCTAGTTTCCAAAGATTCAAACCGCTCATCTATTGGAGTTTTATTGAACAAGTTATGGGCAATGTACTACTGACTATTTAGTGGAAACCGAGAAATAGGGGAAATCGAAATGTATGTGATGATAAAATGAATGCTTTGGCATGGGTCTACAGTTATCCCAATTCAGCGTAAAATATTTCAAATTGAAGCCTTGTTGGTCTAGTGTCTAAATATTCAAACAGTTCGTCAATTGAATTTTTATTGAACAAATTACTGTTCAGTGGAAACCATGAAACGAGTAAAACCGAAATGTGTGTGATGATAAAGTAAACGGTTTGGCAATGGGTCTACAGTTATCCCAATTCAGCGTATAATATATCAAATTAAAGCCCTGTCGGTCTAGTGTCCAAATATTCAAACCTTTCGTCAATTTGATTTTTATTGAACAAATTATGATCAATTTACTATTGATTGTTTAGTGAAAATAGAGAAACGGGTGAAATTGAAATGTGTGTAATGATAAAATGAATGGTTTGGCAATGGGTCTACAGTTATCCCAATTCAGCGTATAAATCAAAGTAAAGCTCTGTCTATCTAGTTTCCAAAGATTCAAGTTGTTAGTGATTGATCTCCAAAAGCAGTACAAAAATAAAAAATAAAAACGGAAATCAATCACCTTTTACACCAAGATGCGGGTATAGATCAAATTGCTTACAAGTTAATAAACAGAAAATTTGTACAATATAAATTAATCCAATCAAATGATCATGAATACGTTACCAACGTTTGGAGGCTCCTTCAATATCTCTGATTTGATCTCACTCCCGATTTAAAGTAGAATCGCACTCACGTCGTCTACATAAAGATAATCCGTAGAACCTACTGTTGTTTTGCAAGAAAAACAAGGAGGCTTCAAGAATCAAAAGAAGAGAAAAAGAATTTTTCTCTTCACTAATATCAAAAACGCGAGAGAAGGAAAGAGGGTTGCTAGGGTTTTTTTCTTTTATTCAATGAATGAATAAATTGTCGTATTATGTTTATATTAAGTTTCACTTATATAGTGTCACTTAATTAAAACCCTAATCCCAATAGGAATAGCCATGGATTCTTAAGTTAATCTATCCTTGCAACCAAAGACACCCTTTATGGTATTTTAATTTTAAGTAATTATTATTATAATTAAAATCAATTAATATATATATAATAATATATTAACATTTAATTATTAATAATAATTGGTGTGCTGTTGCAGTCAACCATAATTAAAATCTAAGAATACATCATGTAGTGCGAGTAAGGATCATTCCCACGGAGAGTGTCTAGCCTAGTTTTATGCTACGTGAACAAGGATAGGGGGGATTTGAGTATAACGAAAACAATTTCAAGAAAAAACAACTAAGGGACAATTCAAATTAAATTATTGAAATCAATCAAAAGAACAAACCTTGGTCTAAGTCAACATCCGTCATCGGAATTTTACAACTGATCATCGAAGCAAGTATATATCAATTCATACTTTGAATATTCACTGTTGGAACTATTTTCCTATCTCTCTTTAGTTGCAGTTAATTAAGAAACAAGCGATCTAATTAATCTTACTACTAAACAACCCAAGACAAGCGGTAAAGGTTTAATCTAGAAGCAGCCTTAAGAACTAGAGAGATCGATGAAGCTGAACAACACAAACACAAGCGGTTGTATTTAATTTAGTTGAGCGTTCTTCTTAAGATTTAATCATTCCTGACGCAGCAAATTCTTAAATCTTAGTTACTCACAAATTAGAGGGATCAAACAATTACGGAATTGATATCTAATTTAGCGATAGATTGTAACAAATAATAAACTAGTAGGCCTCCTAGTAATTAAATGCAACAATCATGAAAATATGCATAGAAGAACATCCAATACTCAAAGCATATATTGAACACTAAAAACAGATTAGATCTCACAGTTTTATTGATTTCGAGGCCTCCGTTTCCTTCGACCAAGTTATGAAAATTTAGCCGCTCATGGCCATCATGACAACTCAAAAGAGAAATTGAAGAAGAGGGGAAGGAGAGGCGTGTGTAGTCTTTTTAATCTGATCTCTCTCCCCCTCTTAAAAATATCCAATTCAAGTCTTTGAATTCTACTTTATCTCCTAAAAATATTCTAAGTTTTATCCTAAAATAATATTTATCCAAATCTAATTAATTAAAAATAAAATAAAGTCCTAATATAACTAGGAAAGTGGTGTTTCTAGCTGTAATTTTCGTGCACCAGATCTTCAAAACTTCTAATAATAAACCGCCTATTTGAATTGCATGATAAGGTCGAATGTTTTAGAACGTCAATAGTGCAGGTGTGTCAACTTCAAGCCCGATTACATCCTTGATTAAGTGAGTATCTCTCCAAACTCAAATCATGAAAGATGTAGATCTCTTTCTTGGTTGCAAAGATTCAAACCGCTCATCAATTGGACTTTTATTGCACAAGATATGGTCAATTTACTATTGACTGTTTAGTGGAAACTAAGAAATAGGGGAAACCAAAATTTATGTGAAGATAAAATCAATGGTTTGGAAGTGGGTCTATAGTTATCCAAATTCAGTGTATAATATATCAAATTAAAGCCCTGTTTGTCTAGTTTCCAAATATTCAAACCGTTTGTCAATTGGATTTGTATGGAGATAATTATGATCAATTTACTACTGATTGTTCAATGGAAACCGAGAAGCAGGGGAAACCAATATGTGTGATGATAAAATGAATGG